TTCGGTCGACGTGAAAAAAGACTGTATCTGTCAAGTTAAACACAATAAAGAAGACGACTGCGAATATAATTTCCTCAGTGTTTTGTTGACAAAACAAAGAAAGCTCCGCTGCTGTATACAATATCTAATTACCTTTGTGTAATTGTTTCGTAAATTAAAATCTCAAATCAGCGTGCCTCGAGTGCCGATCTATACGCAGGGTGTAGCTCCCATAAACAAGATGCACGGTGACAAGCAAATACTGCATACACTCTCTTATCGTTACTATATGCATGTTTTTGTCTTTAATTTTCTGTTTTATTTTAGAATACACTGAAAATCCTGCATACCCATTACAGCTGCAGATATTTGTCGAGCGAATCATCAACATTGTTCTGTTGTCTCATACGTTGGCTTTCTTTCGATTCAACTTCTTTTTTCACATTGCATACGTAGAATCGCTGATTGTGAAAGCAGTTTTTTTTTCACGCTAACAATACATTACCTCGTGTATCTTTTTCTGTGCTTCGTCGGTGGAAGAATGTTGATGTGATGTTTTGCAGCGAAAAATCGCAGAGGGTACAACTCGATGTTTTTGATCACTCATATGTCAAGATAATTAATGAGATCGTCATGAGTGCTCGGAAACACAGAATTTCTTTTTATTTCGCGTAATTGAAAGAATCTAATAAGACAATAACGAGAGAAAGACGAAGAGTGCGCGCAACAAAAGAATAAAACAACCATTGTGAAAAATTCGAAAGAATTATTAAAGAAGTAGAGCAACAAAAGGTTATTCTATTAGGAAAAGCGTCTTCATTCATTAGATAGATATATTTTCGTCATTAAGTTTTAACGACAGGGAGTCCACAAAAATGAGAATATTACTCATGCATATTTAATATGCCGTTGGGTTCTGACAATCGATTGATGCCTTCTTGCTAGCACATCACGATGGCTAGCGATATCTTGTTACCTTGAGCAGTCGCTCATCGCAGCCCGGCGAACGCCCTCGTAATTTGACGGAATGAACGTCAAATTAACGGCTGGCTATAACTCCGAAGGCTTGAGGTTTAACTCGACATAAATTTTCGATATGACAAGTACGTCGAGCGCCTTCCAAATAGCCACGAAAGTGATCGAACACTTGGTCTATTAGTTTCGGCGGCTTGCTGGCTTTCAATTTCATTATATGAGCTTTCATTTTGAGTTTGATTAATTGAAAATAGGCTGTTCTCGCGGCTCACATTTGTTTCTTTTCTTTCAATCATAGATTGTCATTGAATTGATTACTAATTAAGCAATATAGTGAATTGTCTACTCAGTAATCTCTACCTACAACCAACAACTTTATGCAAACATAACGTTTGACGACGATTCGTTATATTAGATGCAGTTAAAATCAAAAGCTTCTAATTACAGTGCATTGTATAATGAGGACTTCCCTCGAAATTGCAGTGCTTCCACTATGCTCTTATGACACAAACAGACGCAATATTTCCATGTTGAAATTCGCCAAATGGTAACGCTGAATGTCGTTGCAATTAACCGATGGATTGATTATCGGAAGACACTGTCTGGCAAAGCTTTGAGGTGCTTTGGGCATCGTCGAATCGTTAAGATGGATGTAACTGTAATGAAGAGCTTGACGTTGACGCGATCGAGAGGAGGCCACCGCCACACGGATCATTTTACCGCGAAAAATAATAATTCGCGGGCTGTTCGCGATTGCGAGGAACGAGCACGAGAATCGGCATAAACACTTGATTCGGGCTTATTTCAACACTCACTGGGGCTCGATCTCGAAACTGCACTTATTTCGCTCTCGAGGGATGAATGATTTGGGCGGCAAGGCAGGTTACGTGAGAATGAAAGGCAGAAGAGGAAAGGGGGGAACTAACTGGGTTATACGCCCGGGAGAGCGAGCTCATCTGGAGGGCGTCCGTCGCGCCGACGAGCTGAGAAAGAGGGGCAGCACGTATTGGCGCGCGCGCGTCCGATGGGTAGTCGTATCGGACGACGTCGACGGCCCTCTCGAGGAATCCATTCGGTATCGCTATATATGAACCGAGCCAGCCACTTGCCCACTTGTCCACCGATGCCCACGACCGTGTTTTCGCTCCTAGCCCGTTTCTCCCTCTCCCTCGCACATATATCTATATACCTCAAATCCATTTCGACGCTTGTCGCACTTGTACCAGCTATATACGGCTGCTGCCTTATTTTATTTACCCATTCATTTTCGCGCTACGTATCCTTGGATTTATATTCGATTCTGCTCTATGTTAGCAGCACATGATGCCGAATGGACTTGCTGAAGAGAAAAATAACAATCGTTTCAAAAATATTGCCAATTCATCTCCACTCCGCTTCCTCTCACACATTTATTCATTTTAATCAACGTTTCTTTTTAATATTTTTATATCTTTTATTAAAATCTATTGATTATAGATTTTGAATTGTTATGATTATTTTAATGTATTTTAACAGTTAGAAATTTGACAAAATTTCCGGTGGGTAGCACGGTTTCATCTAGTCATTTTACTATCTCTATGCTTTTGATCTGCTACACAACTGGTCAAATGGGTATGTTTATTTTTCACGATATTTCTTCATATTCAACATTTATTCGATTCAGTACGAAAAGCGCATATTATATGTACTCACTTTCATGCAATCGGGTGAGGGTAGTTTTATAATTGATCGCGTGATATTTTATTTGAAAGCTGCTGATATAAATTTTAAAACAATGTTATTTTAAATTGACAGACTAAATAATTAATACTCATGCGTTCAGTAAAATAGGGGACAGAGTTAGTGCTGGAAAAAATAAATAGGGTAGACCATGAACATTATTTATCCATAAAAGAATTGATGTTGATGAAGGTATAGGCTGGACAGAGAGGGGGGTGTAAAAAACTTTAGTCGTAATTAGGGATAAAGCCCCTGTCAGGCCGAATACAGAGAGCGGAATGGACAAACTTCAAACTTAATATAAACTGTGGTACTTTCAGGGCAGGTCGAGCTGCCGCTTTTACTTTTCATTGGGTAAAAACAGTTGAATGAGTCCTTACCGTTTCATTGCGTAAAATTTAAGTTGTTGATAACTTCATGCATATGTACATAAAGACATTTCTGAAATATGATATATTCCGATTTGTAATACTTAAAAAATTTTCAATGCTTAATTTATTTCACCTCGCCATTTATTCATATTTAAAATTCGTTAAAAATTCGTTTATTTATAAGGCGATTAGTGCGCGATCATTAGGCTTAGGATTTTTACAATATCGCCGGGAAAGGGGCTTAGAGAGGCATAACAATGTTATATTGATTTCCTCTGGAGTATGCAAAATATAAAATCTATTATTCAGCTTTAGATAAAGTATAGCTATCAAGCATGAAACATAAGCTTAAAGTAAATGCATTGATAAAAAGATTGAAAATAACATCGGGTAGAATCATGAATTCAAATGCAAAACAAGAGAAGAAAAAACATCAAGCTTTACCGAGAAATAGATAAAATGTTTGTGAAAGATAAACGGATGCTTTAATTTGCTAAAGCTTGCTCAAGTTATGAGTTAAATAGAAAGAGGAGTATAATTCTTGGGTAACGCGTTCTCCGCTCCAACCGCACCAACGCCTTCTTTGTTTTTCGACAAACGTTCTCGTTTGTTCCCCTTCTTTTTTCAGTCTAGCAAACTTTGCCCAAGTATTTTTCTCGGGATTAGTGTGCACACGACTGATTATTATTCTGTTTCAATGCAGTAGATTTGAGCCTGCAATTTTCCTTACATTACCATCAATTCTCCGTGTTTTTCCCTGACATGTTTTTCTCCAACACTTAAATTTCTCTTTCGCCGTTTGCTGCATGCCTCTGTCTCTGCCTCTATATATCTTTGGCAGGGTTTGTTTCAGCTCGCAGGTATAATTAGTCAAGTTATCCTGCCACAGCTGCAAACTCGTTTTATTACGTGGTTAGCGCTCTCGCACGGCGCCATTATATACGTACACGTGAAACGTTCGCGCGCTAGAGAAGAAAAGCTTTGTTCAAACTCTCGATGAGATGGAACTGCCTAGAAATGTTAGCTCATTCAGTCGACCTACTTGTAAATTAACAACCTATCCTTTGCCACCTAATTGTATAATTGCAATTCAAACCTCGACTCTTGTTGAATCGAGCTGCCCCAACGACTTTTTCTGTGACTAAAATATGTCAATCAATACTAGTATCCTTACCGTGATCCACAAAACGGAATTGAACGTGCGCTCTTTTCATGAAAAGTGATTAAGCGAAATGGACGTTTCTAGTTATCTAATGAATTCCACTTTAGACTTCCTAAGCGTAATACGAGTAATGAGTATAGCTGGAGCTTGTCGCATTGCAATTGTTCACAAGAGTTTTAAAAGCCAAAGGAAAAAAGCATCAAATTGCAGCGAAGCTCGTCTGGACCTGAGAACAAATTGGTAGATCAGCTGTATTTATAGATGGTCCATGTTGCATAGAGTGCGAGTACCAGTTGCTGTGACATGTAGCAGCGGAGTGGTGAGCGTGGTTTTGCGTGTTAATGAGAAAACGGAACGAAGAGATGGCGATACAACTGGCGAACGTATACTACGCTCGGTTTTTGTTTTTATTCGTATACTGCGACTTTCGCCTTTGTATCGTTTAATTCAATTGCCGAGGGGCAAAATACTAAATTTGCATGAAATGTCGAGATCAAAACGTCACTGACGTAGGTTATTAAGTACAGATGCACAACGACTCGTTGACAATCTCCTCGTTCACTGGCATAAAAAAATTGTCCAAGCTGGTGTCGCGTAATATTAAAATTGTGAATAAAATAATTATTCAGGCTAGTTAGCTACTTTAAGTTTAAAACGTTCTGTATCAAGATCAAAATTGCAAATTTGTCGTCTTGATTTCATGAAATATATAAAAATTTTGGTGGCGAGCAAAATTTTGTTTCGAAAGCTTGTATCTTAGAAACTGTATTAACATGCATATTTTTCCTTTACAGCTTGTCGGCGGGGAATTCGATATGGAACTGAACTTTGTGATACAAGATGCACAGAATATAAGGCACATGTTGGAGCTTCTTGATCACTGTCCACCAAACTTACAGGTGCGTTTTAACAGATTTTTCCAATGTACATACTTACGAAGTTAGGTTCATCAGTTCGTATACCATCGAAGACTGACAAAGAAAAAAAGATTGATTCCGTTGTAAACAGTTTGAGTGCAAATTAGTCGCCCGTGCCGAACGATGCAAACTTTGTTGGACGCTCGAATAAAGATCGCACGAAATTCAGAAGCGCGAGAGCAAGGGTGAGCTTGGATTGGATGAGCTGGAGCTAGCTATCGGCGCGCGCCGGTAATGAACATTCGAGAGGCTGCCACGCCGAGAAAGAGAGTATCGGCTAGCGCTGGAGTTACTAAGCCAGGTCAAGATCGGCTTTATCCTCTTGGCAACCGTTAAACTTTTTCGCGAGAGAGAGCGAGAAAGAGAGAACGCGAAGGGACGAGCGAGCTGCAAGCTTTCCATCCCGCACTTGCGGAAGCTCCAAATCCAACTCTAGCCAGAGCTTCGCGAGAGCGTCGAGCTCCAAGTTCTGTTTCGGCTTTGCCTAATCCTCCGAAAAAGTTATTTCCCGTAAATATATGTACGGCGCGGCAGCGCGGCGGCGCGACGGCGCGACGGCTCGCCCTTGTATTTATAGAGCTGTTTGCTCGACGCACACGACAAGTCGTAGCTTCCAAAATACACGCTAGCTCGCGGAAAACATCGACAATGGAAAAGCAGTGGTCATCGTTGCAAACGCGCGATCTACCTCTCTGTGGTTTTCACATAGCGGGCTCGAGCTGCACGAGTGCGCCTCATACACGTATATTTTTGTCTGAAACTCGAGTTAGACTGCAGCAGTGTGGCACAGGGATTCCGTCGGGAAACAAATAGCTCGGATCGGGCAAGGAGTGCAAATCGTAAATTGGAGCTTTCACAGATGAGGAAATATACGGATTTAGTTGAGGGCGTCGCGAGCGACTCACATCCGAGAGAGCTGTCGAGCGTGAAAAACGGGGCCTACCCATAGGCAACCTCGATTGTGGAATGAACTCGTTAGACAAATTTTGCACGATCGAGCGAGAGCTTATGTGGCAGTTATTAATCTAGATGAGTGAGACCCCTCAAAATCTGTTTTTTTTCAGCATTTTTTTGACTCTTATAAAATCTCAAGTTTTTAAAATAATGCTGTATTGCTTTAGAATTTCCAACTTGTTATTAGTCTAGAATTTTACTTTATTTGTTGTGTATACTGAGGGATACCAACAATTATTTTCAAAGATATAGTACTTGTTTTCGATCTATTTCTTAGCATAGGTTTCGATGGAGTTATTGGATTTAGCATAAAGCCTATTTTCAAAGCGCTATAAACAAAACCCTGTGATCGATCCAAGCGACTAGCAGCGTAAACATTCATTTCTTTCAAATCCCAAGCCAATCCAATATTATTTTTAAAACTTGTGATTTGATAGCTACCGAAAAAATACAATCCCAGTTTACTTTTCATTGTTCACGAATACATTTTTCTTGTTTATGACATAAGCGGCAAGAAAAAAAACTTATCCGCAAACCGCAGGATGGAAAAAATTTTTCAATTCTCGGAGCCCCAAAATTGCATTTTCGGGAATTTACTGATATGATACGCGATAGATTTTTTGCTCCATCTAATCCTATGCAGATCGCTCTGTCTCTCTCTCTCTCTCTCTCTCTCTCCTTTGGGCGCGTGATCCTTGAAATGTTAATGCTGTTAAGGCAGTTTCCACGTAGCACTCCGTTCCTCCTTCTCTCGTTTGTGCACCTGAGGATATTGCATCACGCTCAGCAACAGCTGACCTCTAACTATGCAGTCTCTAAAGGGACGTCATTTTGTCAAGCTGACATTTGACACGCCTACCTACTCCAAATTCAATACCTTTATACCTATAGGCCTTGCATTATTGCACTTTTTATATCCACTCGCTCATCCGTTTAACCATGTAAACTTTTCTTTACTCATCGTATTATGCAGTTTCGTTTGAGTGATACAACATAATAATAGTCAGACAAATTTCATTTTTTAGTTGAAAACTTAATTACTCACCACTTTGGATAAATAAATGCAATGCAAATTTATTTACGATTTTTTGCAAGTTAGGCATTAAATAATTTAAAAAACAATAGAAAATATGAGAAGAGTGGTAGGATCTAGGTGAGTTTATCAGCATCGTTAAGCAGTAGCTGTGGAAAACCGATATCGTAAATAAAACTGACAGCTTTTCTTCTTACGCGTACGGCAACATAATTCCTACGAGGGTAAGAAGTCTATTTGGTGGCCGGTATTTTTCGCGCGGTGTCCAAAGCTTCAACTACGTCGGAAGAGGTGAGAGGGACTGAAATGAATGGGCGGTCCACCTTTCTGCGCCAAGCTGTAACTCGCGTACGCAAAAAAATATCAGTTTTTTGTCAAGCTAACTTTGTAGAAAAAGCGACGCCTTATTATTTATTGAACAATGCATTTTCATGAATACTAATGTAAATCTTATTTTTTTGAAAAGTAAGCACGCTCGAGCGGAAACGCTAGTATTTTTCCGTTTTATGATTCTAGAACGAGATACCCGTTATACAGTTGACGCGAACTGCAGCTAGAATCGAAATTGGATCACATAAATGTGCAATCAGGTTTGCTGTTACTCAGATCAAAGGTGCATATCGCATGTGTGTAACTGCCACGTATTAACTTTGGCATATGACTACACAGCATCCGCAATTATAAATTCAAATGTGCCTGATTATAATTCAACAGTAACATCAATTGTTTGCCCGAATGTATTCTAGTCGGTATGGGATATTATTCTAAGTGAACTTGGTTGACTTTATTAATTAATTAATACATATGTATTACTGTTGCGCAGAGAAACAAAACGTATTATTTTTATTGATAATTCCAAATAATGCGTAAATATCTAGATTAAAAGTACAAGCGTTAACAGCAAGTCAATCTTAGCCTCGAAGTATAAGTACATTTTTGCATGCATTTACGTATTCGTTGAGAGCTACGCATTTTCGAAAAGCTTGGGAAACTTTTCTGAATCTGTACATTGATCGAGTGAATTAGCGAGTAAGTAAAAGCGGAACGTGAGAGAGAGATAAGTAAGTAGGTACAGATTGTAGCAGTACTTTCGAGTAAAAAAGTTTTGCTTTTAACATAGACAACTTTGAAGTTTGTTATTCGTTGGTTTTGAAAATCATTGAGAGACATAAGTTTATGCACCAGAAATACAAAGCAGTAAAAAATTAAATGCATTTAGAAATTAAAGTACGAAAGGAAATATAGTCCCCGGTCTGGCTGCGGTATACATCTAGTCGGCAATGAAAAGTAAAGTTGTGTAAAAGTATGCACGAAGCAGATGCAGGGGTCTTATCTGTTTGACGGTTGGCGAGTCACACAATGGCCAAAGTTTCACTGGGAGCTTCTGAGCTATGCCGCGCAGTAGCGCGAGAAACATAATGATTCAAAGTCGCTGAAAGATAGAAGAGAGAGAGAGAGAGAGAGAGAGAGAGAGAGAGAGACAAAGAGAGAGAGAGAGAGAGAGAGAGAGACAAAGAGAGAGAGAGAGAGAGAGAGAGAGAGAGAGAGAGAGAGAGAGAGAGAGAGAGACAAAGAGAGAGAGAGATCTGAGGGACATCGGCGACGACAACTCAGCTTTCTTCTTTTTTAATGAAAGCAGAATGAGGCTTGATTGCGCGCCTATAGACGTGCCTAGCTAAAATCGTATATAAGTATATATACGTGGTGGTACAAGCAAAAGTGAGATACAAGTGTCTTTCTTCCGCTTCGTTTCGGTCATCTTGCTAGCCTCCTTCGGTAGAATTCGCTTCCGGCTACACACGCATACGTTAGCCAAGAGAAACAGTTACGCATCTCCATCCAAGTTCGTTCTCTGCAAAGTACGTAACAATTTGAATGCACGCTGCCTCAATAGCTGGAGGGGCAAGCTATATTGTATTTTTTTATTTCTGTCTCTGGCAGATTGTTGAGCTACCCTGTACTTAACTTTTTTATCAAGAAGAAAACACATTTCAAGAAACGAGAGGAGTGTTTAGAGAAGCGCGAATGATCCCGCAGTGTAATAAAGTTAGTTGAGTATTCTCAAGAGTTTCATAAACGAAAGCGCCAGTGTAGCTTTTGGCAAAGAGCGGCTTCCTTGAGACAAATTTCCTGTTCCGCGAATGGCCCACTCGTCAAGTTCAAGAACAAGATAGCGAACGAGCGGTGAAGATTAACTCTGTCTTGGCGCTACAGGCTGGGCTATATAGTTTCTTGGCTTTCCCTTGGCGATAGAGCTGGCAATAGAGCGTAATTTCCAACTCCAATAAGAAAAAAACGAGTGATTGTATTGACCGACCAGACGCAATTTTGCCACTCTCGCGTAAATATTTGTGTTACTTTCTCTGTCTCTTTCCCCTACTTTCATCTTCATTTTTCCCTCGACCTCGTCACCCTCTAAGCGCGCCCTTCTTCCTCATTTCTAGCTTGTGTTTTTTCTTCATTTATTTTTTGCTATCTCCTTGTTGTTGCCGTCTCTTTGAAACATTTAAATTTGTAACTAAAAGAGACGTACAAAGGGTTTGCCCGCCTTTCATCTCTTTCGTTGTCGTCGTGTCGACTAACAATATCACACGACGTTTTCCATGTTGTTGTATTATTCTAAAGACTAAAGATCAAAAAACTCATCAAAGTTTTGCCAACTCTAGATCTTGACAGAGACAGCACGTAATTTTGCAACGAGATTAAATGCAGATCGTATTAGTGTTTAGCGCACCGGAAATTTGAATAGCAAAGTCGCATTAATTATGAAGATTGAAAATGCTTTTCATTTACTTTTAAGCTCTTTACTCTCTCTCTCTCTCTCTCTTTCTGGCCAAGAATTTAATAAAGCAAGTGAAACTTTGCCTTGCAAATGTGCACTTTAGAATGGCAGGAAAATATAAAGAAACTTAAACGACCCCAGGCAAGCAAATACAATGTATCTGAAGTTCGCAACATTGGGTAACGACAAAAATATTTAAAAAAATTAATTCGA